TTTGTACGAACAAAAGTAAGAGAAATTTAGGATAAAAATACAAACATGTTCTTGCATGAGGCCCATTGACAGATAAAATAATGTTCTTCATGTCAACTTATCTCTTTAAAGGGTCACTAGAAAAACTCGGGTGATTTACTTTGATCTTATTTTGAAAAAAGTGTCTCTTCAAAACGCATCAACAAAAATTAAAAACTCGAAAACGAGGCTGTAGCTAAATACCTGACTAGGGTTGGATATCGAAATTCGGTTCCAATCTAGCACCGGGGCGAACATCAACAGTAGTACACAGACCGAAACACAACAATAACTTCGGTGCCTCAAAGAAAGCTGTTAAATTGCGCCCTCTGGTGTTCATTGTTAACAGTGACAGCCTCGGCACTCAATCTCCACGGACGCTCTTGTACGCGGTTCGTCTCGACCTCGGCCCAATGCATCTCTCCAAGCGCGCTCCATGATGCTGTGTCAGCTACAGAATTAAAAATGAAATTTTAAAGTTTTTAATGGTCTGGCCTCATCACATTCATGTGATCTTCTTAACATCTACACTCCAGTCAGAGCRCTCAGGTCTACCAACCAGTTCCTGTTAGATGTTCCTAGATCCAAACTGAAATATAGAGGTGCCCGGGCTTTTGCAATAGCTGCTCCAAAGCTGTGGAACAGTCTACCTCTTCAGTTCGGTCAGCAGAGACGAATCTTTTAAATCTTTGCTGAAGACCCATCTCTTTTATTTTTATTTTTTGGCTTTGATTAAGATAGAGTTTGAGGTTCAATTTGAGCTTTATTATATATTATAGGGTGTTTCTGCATTTGTATCTATTATTTGTTTTGTTTTTGTTACAAGCCTTGACTGAACTGTAAAGCACTTTGATCAGCTTTTGTTGTTTTAATGTGCTATATAAATAAATTTGACATTGACATCTCCAACACATAGGCAGACACTGAAGTGATAAATAGGTGTTTTTGTCATAAAATCAAGAGTAGAACAAAGGTTTTATGAGCTGTAGGTAAAAACTGAACTCTCTCTCTCTCTCCCTCTCTCTTTTATTTTGACAGTTATGTGGTTATGATGCCAAAGAAAAGACAGGCTCTGGTGGAGTATGAGGACCTGAATGGCTCCTGTAATGCTGTCTCATTTGCAGCTGAGAACCAGGTTTACATTGCTGGACACCCTGCATTTATTAATTACTCCACCAGTCAAAAGATTTCTCGACCAGGAGATTCAGACGACACCAGAAGTGTCAACAGTGTGCTGCTGCTCACGATCTTAAACCCCATCTATCCTATCACCACGGTAATGTGCTCACAGTTACTGTATGATTGATTTTCAGCTTTGAGATTAGTGGGTTCAAACTTTTGTTTGTGTGTGTGTAATATGTTGTATTATTATAACGTGTGTTATAGTTGAATGTTTGACACTTAAATTATAATAGTTTATTTGTCATGTGCTGTATTCAGTTTATTTTATTTATTTTTTTTACTTTGAACAACATCCAATCAAATATCTGTTCTAATATTCACTGCCTTTGATGTATTTATTACTGTACATTGAACAGCAAATCACCAATAACTATAGTATAATTTCCTTTTGATGAAATAAAGTAAAACAATGGGCCTCGTGCAAGAATGGTTCGTACGCACAGATTTGTTCTTAAGTTGTGCGTACGAGTGATTTAGGAGAATTTGTGGCATTCACCAATGGCTACGTTCACACTGCAGGTCTTAATGCTCAGTTCCGATTTTTTGAAAAAATCCGATCTTTTTGTGTGAACGTTCACATTACATTTTAAATGTGACCTG